CGGTGCACCGACATGTTTGGATATTTATTTTTGCGCCACATTCATACATTGAAAGAAAAAGTATGTTAACAATTGAATTAACAGTTTTTGCGGTTAAATACATTTAATATTTTCTTGGATGTAAATTAACTATTAATTTAAATCCAAAAAAATATTGAATGTATTTAAGCACAAAAACTGTTGATTCAACATAATTTTTCTCTTAGCAAAAATGATTATCCAAACACCGTTGGCATAAAAAATCACGACATGATTTTTTAGGCCATCGGTCAATCGCAAACAGCGATATATGGATATGTAGGTATACTTTTTCTCTCAATGTACGAATGTGGCGCAAAAATAAATATCCAAACATGGCATAAAAAATCACGACATGATTTTTATAATAATAATAATATTTATATTTGCGAAACATTTGTACATTGAAAGAAAAAGTATGTTAACAATTGAATCAACAGTTTAACATTCAATATTTTTTTGGATTTAAATTAACTATATATAGTTAATTTAAATCCAAGAAAATATTCGCAAATATCACACCGTGAGATCTACATGATATCACTGTGATAAAGCATGTGTATGCACTCAGGATATCAAAAAAAAAATCATCATGACTTCACCAGGAAATCCCAAATGTTGTCCGGGTCATTATCACTAATAAAAGAATTCACTTTTCGAAAAATAAGGGCAACAGGAACCATTAGGGATAACAGGCTGCTGGAGTCCCCATTGATTGATGTAAAAGCTTAAAAAAAAAGTCCAGAGGTGATTACCAATATGCCTTGGTGGACAATGAATTAGTTATTTGCGAATGGAACGATAACAATGTTATAACCACTGCTTCCAATGCATCTTCTGTACTGCTAACAAATGAAGTAAAGAGGTTTTCTCAAAAAGATAAACAACATATCTACATTAATGAGCCTAAGCCTATAAAAGGATACAATGAAAATATTGGGGGAGTAGATCGCAGCGATCAAAATATTGGGCAGTATTTCAATTAGAGGCAAAAAATGGTACTTTCCATTGGTAAGCCATTGCATTGATATGTCAAATCAGAATGCTTGGTATTTGCACAGATTTGATGGAGGAAAGCTGTTGAACTATTAGAAAATTATAAGGTCTTGAATAGACGTGGAGCTTTAAGAAGATCAGAAATTTATCAGCAAAGACCGGATTTTTATTGGAAATAAGGACACATAAATAGGCAATAAAAAGCAACATTTTAGGCCAAAAGTGCATAAAATAGGCTTCAACCGTCTAAAATAGGCGATATGAAATAAAAACAATACGATTGAACATAACATTTATTCAGGTATTATCAATAAAAATAAAACAAAAAATACATCTCTCCTAATATAAAATACATAATAAAAATAATAACGCAAACTCTAGCAAACAATGGCCCGTATGAATTAAGAAAAGGAAAACCTATACTTGTAAAATTTATCTTTCGCCAATATAAATAAACATAAGTAAATTCATTTACTATTACATTACTATTAATGAAAACCTAATTTTGGTTTATTCTGTATACTATATATACTATAGTGCAGGTTGCTATTATATTTGTTAATATTATATTATATTTGTTAATATTATATTATATTTCCTAATACAACAAAAATTTTTGGTAAAATTGGAAAAATTAAGTGGTTAAATCAACAAATTCAATTAACAAATATATTATATTACATAAATTTTGCTAAAACAACAATTTAAATTGATAATTTATCTTCTTATCAAAGTATTTTGTAAAATTAAAAAATTTAATTATATATATAAACGTAATTTAACAAATTGTAAATGCAAAATATTTTAGTATAGCATACTATAACAACAAAAAAGTGGATCTCTTGGAATAAACTTTTTTAACTGTGTAGTTATGTTAAAACCTTGGAACAGCTTTTGCATTATATTTGGGTGTCATCGCACTGATTTGGCTGAAATATTTTATTTTTGTTCAGCTCCTGCAACCACCCTGAAACCTTTATCCCTGCTTTGGCTTTGGACATTTCGTAGGATTACTAAAATAAATTGTTTGCAATAATAATAGTTTTTGTAAATGAAATACCTGTTATTTAATTAAATCTCTATAAACTTACCAGAAACAAGCAGGCCGACGCTGAACAAAAAATATAAACAAATACAAACAAAAGCACGATACGTTGATTCAAAAATTTGTCAAAGTTGGCTTTAGCCATCTATTGTCTTTATAGAAAAATTATTTACCACCTGTAAATTGTGAAGTTATTTAATTATTCCATAAATGGCGACAAATTATTTAATTAAAAACTGTTAAAAAGTCTGAAATTACAATATATGTAATACATAAACGGAAATTACAGGAAAACCTATGACAACAAAGTAAATATTAATTATTTTACAAACTTAATATTATTCATAATTATAATTATATTATAATTATTTATAATGAATATTTAGATATTACCAAAACACAATTACTTTTTTCATAAGGTTTTCACTAGTTTTGTAATTTGTGGTCCTTAAGGACCTCTAGTCGAAAGAGCCAGAAAGCAGGGCCTTATAATTAAAAATAATTTACTTTTTCGCATTGAAAAATATTTTTTTTTCTGACAAATTAAAAAAGCCTATTTTAGGCTCATAAAAGTGTCCTTTTGGGACAATAAAAAAATGTCGCCATTTTAGGCTTTTAGGCAAAAACAAAGGGGTGTCAAACGCTTAATTTTTTTAAGTTTAGGATTAATTTCAAGGTCCCAAACAAATTCCCAAAATAAGGCATTTTGTCTTAAATCCGGTCCTTGGTTATAAGGAGCATTCTCGATACGATCGAATTGATGCGTAGTTTGTCATAAGAAAGCAAATTTTCGAAAAATGTGACATTGGATTGCATCCTAACAACTGTTTTCGTCAGTTTCACACCTTGTAAATTTTATAATAATTTTATTTTGTAATAAAACTGTTAAATTCAATAAATTTTTATTAAACTTTGTTTAAGTCATTTAGACATGTTTAACCCTACGGTGTTGTGAACGGTTCTCATCGGAGCTGTAGAATGGTTCGTTATCGTCTCCGGCGAGGGTCACAGTGCGTGGCAAACAGCCTGGGTTAGGAAGGGACATCCTAGTTAGTGGAAGTCCTTACTCTGAGACTGGAGCTGTCCCGTAGGCTGCTCCGAAGCTGGTGGAGCAGATCGGGGTCCCTGGTATACCACGACTCATCGTAGTGACCATGGCGGTGGAACTGCCCGTCCCGATGAGTGGAATGTAGTTGTTCGTGGTCAGAAGAGAGTTATCCCTTCGTGGCTGGTGGTCAGGGTGGCGTCGACGAGTGTGGTTTCGCCTCGGTTACCATGGTGGACGCTGTCCCATCATGGCTGGAAGTAGTGGCTGTAGCGGGCGTCGTGGTGACGGTGGGCTCTGTGGAGCCGACTGGAGTCATTGTGTATGGTGCTGTGGCTGCGGCCTCTGCGTCCTCGATGATGGATAAATTCCCCAAGGCCGTGATGTCCTGCAGAAGTTATTGTATTGCTTGATCTCGGGCAGCTTGGCTACGCGTCCATGGCATCGCTGAAAACCATTCCCATGGTACGTCGAGGTGGTGTGGTTCTCCGGATATTTGTTGCCTTAAATACTTACTGCCTTTTGATAATCGAGCTGAAAGTTGTTAGGGAATGCAAATAAAAAGGCAAATCTTGTTTTTTTATCTGCCACTTGACCCGTCGGTGACTGCAGTAGTGTCGAAGGCTGGTAGATCCTGGAAGGTCGGCTTGGTCGCTTGACAGGCTTCTGGTCGCTTGGGCTGTTGTCGCTCTGGAGTCTTCAGAAAGACTGATTGATGTTCATTTCGGTGCGTCGCTTTTTATAGACGGCCGGAGGTCGTCGTAGGTATTCGTTGCCGCTGTCAGCCAATAAATACGCGCCGTTTTTAACAACTGTCCTTTTAAAAGGTCGCCCTTAAAAAAAACTTAAATTGACATAATTTTAAAAAAAAAAAATTCCAACTACATTTGTATTCCAACTATTTGCATCATGATGAACTCCCAAAATCAGTTTTAGCTTTTTAGCGACTGGGTAGGTGAGCGAATCGAACTTTATTATATACACATTTATACACATCTAATCAGGTTTACTGCTGTCGTTTAGGTCTAACCTAACTAAATACCTCTCAGCGATCGAAAACCATAATTCCGGATCAGCCGCATTGAACTCGGGAAAACGTGGTTGTTTCGATATCGTGACTGCACCAGTGGTGGTTTCTTCGACCTGAGTGAATTTAGTCATTTTTATACTGCTACAATTGCCGTTGCTTATATCGCGCGCGCACCGCCGAAAAACTACCCGTGTAAGTCAACCAGTTGACACAAATACGGCCACTAATTTGCTTAAACAAAAATAAAAATATATACATTTATACACAAACTATCTTCGAACTTAGCGTGTAGTTAGCCGGAGCTGATGTATTCAAGACGATGAATTCGGAATTCCACAAGGCTCCCTCGTCCCCCACCGTTGGAAAATATTTAAAACGAGACAAAAATCCAAAAAGTAATAATGTCTATTATATTTTTGGATTTAATTTATAAAGGTAAAGGAGAGGTAAAGGAGTAATAAATCCAGGGGTGCAAATGATGGAAAATGTTGTTGTTAATTAAGGGTTCAAAAAAATATACATGTCAGTGTCAAAGACTTATCGGAACAGTTTTAGTATGTAAGGTGGCACCATTAGAGAGTCATACTCAATGGTTTCAGTTTTTTATTAAATACTATAAAATTATTAAGTTCTGTCCAAGAAAATTGTTTAGAACCTTTATGTACCTACCTGATAACAAAAGCATTAAGTATTTCCAATAAAGTTGTCAGATGCCCTTGGAACTTTAAACTTTTATATGGTATTTGATTATTTCCTTTAAGGATTTTAAAAAGACCATATGGTCTGTAGTAGCGCCAAATCTGATTCTAAAATATATACCATCTATTTTTTGACAAAAAATATTTTACCAATACCATATTTTTTAGATGATTGGATTTTTGTTAATCTCAATTGGAACAACAATTCAAATGATTTATGGTGATTTTGAGGTTTTCATGGAAAATCGTTATTTTAGCCCAGCAGCTTTGTGTGTAGCCATTGGTATAATTATATTCTTTATTGCACTTTTGGGTTGCGTAGGAGCATTAAAAGAAAGTACTTGTCTTGTAAACACGGTAAGTTGTTATATATTTCTTTTTTAATTAATATTATAATACATTGTATTACACCTTTACAAGAAAATACTCAATTAATAATGTTATTTTCAGTACGCCTTTTGTCTATTTATAATTTTGATTTTGGAGTTATCTTCTGCAATTGCTACATACTCTATGAGAAACAATCTAACCAACACCTTGAAGATCAATATGGAATATTCCATTGATAAATATAATGCTAGTAATAACGACGAATATGCATGGAATTATATGCAAAGAAATGTACGTATTATTGGAATTACAAAGCAATCCGTAATATTTTTGTATTTTAGTTAAGGTGCTGTGGAATAAATAATTCTGATGACTGGGTGAACAAAAATATATCTATACCACACACGTGTTATAATTGTGAAACATGTAATACTGATCCTTCATTCTTAATTAAAGGTGGATGCTTAGACAAATTAACTTATATTGTTTCTGAATGTGCTATGTTACTTGGAGTTGGAACTCTGTGTGTGTCCTTTATACAGGTAATTAATGCGATTAATGGTTTAAATATTAAATAAACTTTGTTAACGTTTATAAACGCGTTCATAACTTTGGAATGTTATGGGGTATACATCTGATAACGATAAATTAATCATCGTTCTCAATAGGTTTCAAAACATTATTATAATAGTAAAGAACTAAATAATTATCAATAACAATATAATTTTAAAAAATCAAAAAGTGGAAAACATTTTTTGTCGAAGTTTTGATTTTTTGACACAAACTGTCAAATGGTTTTTACCAATTTTTTTTACAAGTGGAAAATTTTAGTGTGAAAGTAAAGATTGTTGCTAAATTTTTTAAACATATGCATTTACCCATAGAGCCTTATCAGGTCAAAACTTGGCCAATAATAATTATTGGCCATGTTTTAAGCTGATATTGGTTTGTGCATATATTTGAAAAATTTAGCAACAACAAAAAATTGTTGTAAAAACCATTTTATGACAATTTATGTCAAAAAATAAAAAACCGAATTATTGCCCTTTTGCGGTTGGTAATGTTTTTCCAATAAATGTACAAAATACAACTTTATATTCTTGTTTGTTTCTTTTGTAATCGCGATGGGTAACGATGAATGATCAAATCGTGGCCAATAAAATGCTAAAGCAGTTTTAAAACTTTTTTCTTGGGACAAATACGTATGACTGCTACATCAGGGGGCCGCAACGACAATAAAAGTAAACATTTAAAAGTTATATTTTTTTCAAAATAAATGACATTTTGATTGTTGACATTGTGGAAAACATTTGAAAATTTTAGTTAAATCCGGCTACATGCTACACATTGTCAAGGCGGTGGTGGCTGGTGGATTTTGCGTATACCAATATTTTGGTTATTAGATATGAGACTCACACCAAATTTATAAGAGTTTATAATGACACTAAATTCACAAGTTCTGCGCAAGCAGAATTTAAATAAAAGTTTGCAAAAAATATAGTTTTTGCTGCAGCTCCCCTGCAGCCTGGCCCCCCTAATAAAGATAAAACAAATTTTAGTGGTGCGATTTATAATTTGTCAATAAACTATGGTAAAATTTGTATTATCTTTATAAGGGGGGCCAGGCTGTAGGGGAGCTGCAGCAAAAAATATATATTTTTTGAAAACTTCTATTTAAATTCATTTATTATAAACTCATATAAATTTGGTGTGGGTTCCATGTCTTATAACTAAGATATGGCATATGAAGGGGTCAATGCAAGAAGTGCCTAAGTCACATTTTCAATTAAATTTACATTGTAGCATGCTGAACTTTCCTCAATGTTGTATCTTTACACTGTTTAAAATATATGTGGTGTAAAAAGTAATCTTAAAATGGTGTCAAAATCCAACACCAAGTGGTGTTAATTTAACACCATAAATTATGATTGAAAATGTGTACCGATCGCGTCTGTTGACTTACATGAAGAATATATAAACTGAGGTAATCCTTTGCTTTGGTGTGACACTACAAGTTGTTCGATACTAAAGAGACCTTAAATAGGTGGAAACAGCTGTCAATACTTAAAGTATTTTAAGTTAGTGCAACGCACTAAAAACATTATCTCTAGCGAGTTGAAGGTTCCATTTTCTGGAATAATACCACTGGTAATATACTAGTAATGCGTTAAGGAACTTCCTGTTTCCTTTTTTTTCCTTTTTTCTGTGTAGTATGATTTAATTTGTCCACAAACACATAATATTTAACACTGAAAAGGAGTTCAATTTACAACAAATAAAATTTATTTTAATACTGTGTGAAAGTTAAATTAACACCATTTTAGTATTTGAATTTACACCGGCCAACGGACCTTATTTAACACCATTTTGGTTTGTATCGATATAGACCATGTTTGGTGTTAATTTGGTGTTAAAATGGTCATGAAATTTTGAACAGTGTATGAATTATCAATATATTTGCCTTAGGTTTTGGATAATAATTTGCTGGTCCATTCGGATGTAAAAAACGAACTTTAATTTTCTTAGACTCTTTATTCTTTCCAATTGTAAAATCTAACTACTAAGAGCTCTTATAGTTAATGGTAACAAAACTAGATTTAATAAACCTTTATACAGAATTCGTTATTTGAACACATTTATCAAGGTATTGAATATGTTGTTTCAAAATGAGAAAAAGGTTTAGTTACAATTCTGGATTTTGAAACTGGAATCAAAGCATGAATTATTTGTGTCACCGCGACAATCTGCGCTTCAGCAAATGTTTTCTTAAAATAAGAAATAGTTGTCTATATTTCAGAACTTAAAAGTGATTCCTGGAATGTTCTCTGTTGCAACATGATACAGTTGTTCCGGGGTCATAATTTATTGATCATAAGACCTTTGCAGGCTGGCTTTGCTGGTCAACCTTTTTACTGTACCCCCCACAAATCGTCGCAGGCATTCCTGTGTCCTGGCAAAAAAATGCCACTCTGCCTAAATTCCAAATTCTGTCTCATGGTAACATAGATTAATAAAGTTTTTTGTTTTTATATTGTGCTGCGTACCCATCAGAGAAATAAAAGATTTTGGAAAGATTCTGGATTTTTTTTAAATTCAGGGAATAAATGGCTTAAAAATAAATGAAAAGCGACAGTATTAGGCAATTCAAAACAAAAACGTAGTTTTAATGTGTTATTTTATTTCTTTCATTTTTAAAATAAATTAGAAACGGGTGAAGGGTGCAACCCCGTCAGGCCATGGCCTTACTATTAGTAAAGTGGTATGATTATATTTTTAAATTAAATTTTGTTTCATTATAAAGCTGTTTCCGCAACTTCTCAAAAGTTTTTGAAAATTGAACTATCAAAGTTATAACAATGTTGCCAGAGGTAAAATATTTATGATGTTTTGGAAAATACATGTAACACTGTATACAATAAAATTATATATAAAAAAGCGTATTATATGAAAACCAAACTAAAAAAGCAGTTTTCGTTATAAAAATTAAATTAATTTTTCCAATTTTAAATTTGACACAACAACATTCTGTTTTCTCAATGTGAACTATGATAGTTAAAATTTAGTGTAGTGCATAAAAAGCGAGTTTTAAGCATTTACAAATATTTTGTTAAAAAAATGCTTAAAATTATAAAATACATACACTAACCCTTAGGGACACGTGTATCTATCTAAGAGTGTTTCACGAAAGGTTTCAGGTGGTATTTTCAAAGTGGCAGAAATATGTGCCCAATTGCCTTAGTTTGCATTTACTTAAATGGGAGTTTGCCTGGTGGGTTTTACGTGAAAATTCTTAGACGAAACCACAATAACAAAATTGAAAATGTGACTTAGGCACTTCTTGCAAACCCCTTCATATACAAAATCCTCCAGCCGCCACTGTGTCAAGGTATATATCAGTTAGACGACATCTGTACCTATGCATTTTTTCAAATGTAACGCAATCTGAGAGAGAGACCTAGCATTCAAAAATCAAATTTTAAATGAGGCGATTGAAGTTCGCGCGGCATAGGCGTTTGTGTAGTAACGCTCGACTTCAAAAACTAATAGCCTTGTCAATTCCACCTGGACCTTTCGAAAGATGTTTACCCCTTTTCTTAAAAAATGGAAATCTTAAAAATAATTTTTTGGACGCTAGGTTCCTTTTTTGCATCACCTCCAATATTACGTTACAGTGTTTCAAAGTTATCGGGTACCAGGTACAAGTCACAAAATATTGGTCCTATATGGGGCGCGTCTATGCCCAATATTTTATCTGGGGCCAATATTGGATTTATTTAGCCGATGTTAGCCCTATATTGGCATAAAATGATAATTTAATATATCATTGCCAATATCGGATATATAATGTCCAACAACAATATTGGACCATGCTAGAAAAAATCTGACGAAAGATATATTGGCCCAATATTATTACGAATATTGGGCAAATATCTTTGTGGGGCGGTACCTACTAATTTACAGTGCGTGGTAAGGCAGTAGTGCGCCATGTTGTGTATTAGCAGCTTTGTATTTGCTAACCACCTTCCAGTAAAGGAAAATTTTTTTTTTACATTATTTTTAATTATTCCAGGGTTACCGAAAAACCAAGAAATCCTTGAGAAACTTTGAGAAAGTTTTGTTATTGCCGATGTTAAAAATTATGCAAGATGTAGTAGTTTTTAGTAAGCCAATCAGAGCATTAATTTCATCGGCAAGCCACGAAGGTTTCGAATTTAAAAATAATATGCAGCGTAAAAAAGTCAGCGTCAACGCAGCTGGAAATGTTGCTCTCTGATTGGCTTGGGGAATTCTGAAATTTAAATTTTTTATAAATTTATTGATCTAGACAAAAACTTTTAAGGAATTGTAATTTAATGCAAATATTATTTTTTTATCATATTTTATTTCCGTTTAATTTATAAATAAAAAATAAAATGTATTAGTAACAGTACTTTTAAATTGAAAAAAAAATATATGTTGTAGTTCTAACTACAATAAACATTTTTTCCATACGCCTTTTTGATATGCTAAATTTATTAACACTTTTTTTAGATTTTAGGAATATTCTTTGCTAACCTTTTGGCAAAATCAATTCGCGCCATAAAAACCGAAATGTTGGTTGTTCGGGAAGAAAACAGACAAAGAATTTATAAACATTGGGCTGAAAATAACCCTCCTAAAGTTGATTTACCCGTACCAGCCTCGTCAGAAGCCTAAATATAATATTATGTAACTGTTTAAATTTACGTACAGTCGTATAAAAAGCGTAGAGCAATTAAAATGAGTATTTAAGGCATAATTTTTTAAACTAAAAGAAAGGATCCTAATAAAATAACAAATTTTTTTCAACTTTAGATAACTTGTTGATCCTAATAATCCGGACTTACTCTCTTTTTAATAGGTGTACGCTTTTTAATAAATGCATAAACATGTATAGAATTATTATATAGGTTTATTTGTAATGGCAATTTGGAAATAATAAAACATTAAATAAATAATATCTATAAAATAAAAAGTTTATATAATATAATAAGCACTCTTAAAATAAAAATTAAAATGAAATCTGATTGTAAAAAATAAATTATTACTTTATCCACATCCATCCCATTTTTAGTTACCCGTAATAGTTATTTAGGTACCTACGTGTCAAGCTTTGTAAATGAATCTTTACGGGCGAGCTAGAAGTTTGTAAATCCAGTGAGCCTAGTAAAGATTAATTGCAAAGCATGACTCGTACAAACTTTTATAAAATAGTTAATATATAATTAATTAAAATAACTATTTTCACCTTTAGAAAAGAGTTTTAAAATTTAAAATGTCAGTTAATGTGTCAAATGTGACATTTCATTTCATAAATTGCTTTTCTACAAGCCTGTAAAATTTTACAGGTCTTTATACTAGGTGGCGCAAAAGTAATCACCCTATTGGAAGATGCTCCTATTATTGCAGTTGGCGATAATTGTCATCGTGAATTTGACATTTGTCAAGAAGACAGTTGTAAAATATACGCCAACAAGCCATGGAGCGTTATACTCCTCAAGAACGCGGAATAATTGTGACTATATTTTTGAGCAATAATCGGTCAGTGATTTTAACATAACGTGAATTTCGTCGTAAATATCCAGGCCTTAAAACGCCAAGCCGTCTCTTGGAGACTGACTCAACACGGGATTTACCTAGGTACGGCCGGCCACGGGAGTTGTTCTGCCGAAAATATCGCTGTTGTTCAAAATGAACCAACAACATCAGTCAGATGACGGGCCACCCAATTAAAAATCAGTAGACGATCTTTACAGCGTATATTGGTAAAAGACTTGAAGATGTTTCCGTAAAAAGTGCAAACATGTCCATCAGTTATTGCTTCCAGATATCCAATCGCGTATAAATTACTGCCGAGCCATATTAAACATCAACAACGGAGAAGACGATTTTTGGTCAAAAATCATCATGAGCGATGAGCACATTTCCATTTATGCGGATACGTAAATAAACAAAATTTACGCTTCTAAGGCACCGAAAATCCTCAAATAATGCACGAGGAGCCATTACATGCTCTTAAAGTCACTGCTTGGTGCGGTATTTCTGGAGAAAATGTGATTGGCCCATATTTTTTTGAGGACGCCACCGGGAAGCGTATTGGCATTGTGTACTACGATACAGAGCCATAGTGTTCTGAATCGCAGTAAGGATTGACAAAATTAAACGCCACTAAGTACAATACAATCCATACTACGATTCAGCACATCTCCCAGTTTGTGATGTTCTGAATCATAGTAGAGAATGTTGAAGTGTTTGCGCGAATGCAGCAGGCCATACTTTACTGCGATTCAGAAAATATTGGCTATGTGCCGCACGCATAAAGTAATAAGCCAGAGTTATAGGTTATGTTAGAAATTAATTGATAGTAGTGAAACAGACCAAAAATCTCACTGACAATACGATTCATTAATATTAGAACCAATAAAATGCCAGTATTCCATAGTGACGTATTTTATCACAGCGGCAATAATTTTTATCATCTTGTTTACACGTTACTAAGAATTTTGACACTTTTTTTGATTTAACATCTGTTGTCATTTAAATTCTGTATTTGATATATATCAATAAAATAATGAATTATAAACTCTAAAAGATCGATGGGTTGGTGTAAACGATAATGAAATTAAGGTAAGTTTGAATAAATAAGGTTTATTAAAGTCTTTTTATATTTTAAAGCACATTTTAATTTTAAATGTCAATCTGACAAATTTTTTAATTCCTAAAATTCATTATATTTTCTCACTAAATATAACTCGTGGTATGATTAATAATCGAAGATATTTACTCATTGAAACCGAAGCAGCACATTTCACTCGTCCTGCGGACTCGTGAAATCTGCAGCTCGGTTTCAATTCGAAAATATCATCGATGATAATCATACCACTTGTTATATTATGGGTGACAATATTTATTTTTTATTATCGATTTTTCAAGTTAATTAACTTAAAGATCGTTTTACCCTAAAATTTTATTTGGCTTTATCATCGACAATCCTTAATATATTTTTATAAATATTTTCGTAGTTAATGCCCTTATATATTTAAAAAATAAAAAATATAACTTTAAATTATTATATAAAGTATAATCCACAATCCACACATTGTGTGGATTGTGGTATAATCTATGTATTTTTATTTGGTGTCTATTAAAGAAAACAACACAATACAAAATATAATATAATACAATACAATACAATAAAATAAAATTTCTTATTTATGTATATTTTATGTTTATTTTTTTGCAAAATTAATAGTTTTATGTAAAAGTAGAAAAAAAAGCCTATTAACTATTTCAAATATTATTTAAATCCGTTATGGTACGTTTATATCTGATACTTGCAAAATTTTTGGGTAAAACGATCTTTTTGTTAATAAGTTTGAAATGATTTTTTTCCTTTGGGTTAATGTATATTTATTATTAAAACTGCAGAGAGTACCTAGTTTGTTTTTATTAATATTTATTAATAAATAAATTCCAATTAAAAATAATAATTTGTTTTTTATTGATAAGGCGTGCAGCTAGCGTATTTGTAGGTAAGCTATCCAACTACAATTCAAATTAGAATACTATTTTCAAAATCGTAGTAAAGTATGGCCTGCTGCGGTCGCGCATACCCTACACCATTCTCTACTATGATTCAGAACATCACAAACTGGGAGATGTGCTGAATCGTAGTATGGATTGTATTGTACTTAGTGGCGTTTAATTTTGTCAATCCTTACTGCGATTCAGAACACTATGGCTCTGTATCGTAGTACACAATGCCAATACGCCACCGGGAACACTGCTACTGAGAATAGTGAGCGATACAGAACCATGATAAACGAGTTTCTACTGCCGAAAATTCATGAATTGGGTTTGGAGAATATGTGGTTTCAGCAGGACGGTGAGACTGCATACACAGCATGAGAAACAATAGATATTCTGAGCGCGATATTTCCCGGTCGCTGAATTTCTCGTGTAGGTGATTTGCGTTGGCCCGCAAGATCGCCTGATTTAACTGCTCCAGACTTCTTTTTGCGGGGTTTTTTGAAGTCTCGCGTTTATGTGAACAAGCCCTAAAATAAAATATTAGAGAAGAAGTATTAAGGGAAGTAATGAAACATGTTTTAAAAAGCGCTTAAATTTGCATTAACTCTGGCGGCGGCTACTTGTCCGATATTATTTTTTCGACTTGACAGAATAAAATTTAAAGATCTAATTAAAAATTATCCACAAACAGAACCCATTTTTTTCATTTACAAAAAAGTTATAGACTTGGGAAATCGGGTGATTACTTTTGCGCCACCTAGTATAAGCCCGTAAAATATTACAGGTCTGTTCCCATCAATTATGGGCCATAATGTATCGTTTAGGTACTTGGATATAAAAACAACAAAATTAACCTATAAAATGTCATTTACTAAGAACGCGGAAATAAATAAATTGTATTTCCACCTTCTTATTAAATTACATTTTATACTTTAATTTTGTTGTTTTAGTATCAAAGTAAACGATACATTAAGGGAACAAACCTGTAATATTTTGCGGGCTTGTATAAAAGACTTGTAAAGTTTTACAGGCTTGTAGAATAGTAGATTATGTCATAAGGAGTAGAAGTGACTCTTTTTGTGGTGAGTACAGAGATTGACGGCCGAAGCGTAGCTGAGGCTGGCAACTGTACGAAGCACAAAAAGAGCTTCTAGTCCAAATAACATATACAATTTTTTTTTCAAGGGCGTAATATAAATATAGGATAAGAAATAGAATTATTTTATCTACTCCTAACTCATGTGGTATAAAATTTTGGCTAAAAGCATTAGAAATTATTGATAAACTAAAAAAACTTATAACCCTTACTTACAATGCCGATAAATATCCTAAACCATAGATAACAAAGCCCAAACTAAAAATAAACACTGCTCTGTCAAAATGCTGCGCCTGAATTAATTTTGACGTACTGACATTTGTTTGGAGTTCCAACATTGGCGACTCGTCTATCATCATAATATTATACTAATAAACTAGTTGTTCTTTATTTCGTTCAATTAAAATTTAATAAATAATCCCTAAATATTCCGTGCGATTATAATTAATATAATTAATACATCGTGATTGCTTTGTATGATATGCTAAATTAATTTTATTATTTGACGTCTATTGGGACACCTATGGATTTACTTCTATCCCTAGGCTTTTTTGAGTTTTTTTCTGCCGCTAATGAAAAAGACGCACTTCAACTATCTCTATACAGGCATATAAGGTTGTATATCATGGCCGCTTGAAAAAAAAAGTAATTTATTTAAAAATCGTTATCTAAAGGTGAAAATAAAAGTTTGTACGTGTCACGCTTTGCAATAATTATTATTAATCTTTACTAGGCTCACTGGGTTATGCACAAACTTCCAGCTCGCCAGAAGAGATTCATTTACAAAGCTTGATACGTAAATAACTATTATTTCCACCTTTTTAGAAAATTACATTTTATAGGTTAATTTTGTTGTTTTTGTATCTAAGTAAACGATACATTATGGAAAAAGACCTGTAATATTTTACGGGCTTGTATAAAAGACCTGTAAAGTTTTTATTTAAAAATCGTTATCTAAAGGTGAAAATAAAAGTTTGTACGTGTCACGCTTTGCAATAATAATTATTAATCTTTACTAGGCTCACTGGGTTATGCACAAACTTCCAGCTCGCCAGAAGAGATTCATTTACAAAGCTTGATACGTAAATAACTATTATTTCCACCTTTTTAGAAAATTACATTTTATAGGTTAATTTTGTTGTTTTTGTATCTAAGTAAACGATACATTATGGAAAAAGACCTGTAATATTTTACGGGCTTGTATAAAAGACCTGTAAAGTTTTACAGGCTTGTAGAAAAAGCAATCTATGAAATGAAATTACACATTTGACACATTAATTGGAATTTGAAAATTTTTAAATCGTTATCTAAGGTGAATGTTTTTAAATGTCAAAAACCGGTATGCCGGACGTACGTCGCGGCGACTATACAAAGAAAACAGCTAATTGTAATTTGCTTGGT